GCACTATGTACAGGCTAGTATGTGCCTTATGTGAGACCCACTTGCACATCTGTCCTTAAAACAAGTGCAGAAAGTGAATTCACTTTCACTGCCCAAAGGGAAACTCCTTTTTCATAGGGTTTGGCAAAGGGGCTATTGAGAAGTGATTGCATGTATGTATGTGCATCAAGAGCAATTCTCTGTACTTTCTTTAGCAAAAAGGACATTGTTTCTTGAGGCTAACAAGGATGAAGAGCGACGTGGCTGCCTGCAGCCTTCAGCACTTGCAGACATTCTTAAGTACTCCCCTGGCTCACCAGTCCTTTCAGCACTGCGTGCTGACAGCTTGCTTCTGTAGCTCCTGTGCTCTCTTTCAATGACACCTTTGTCCCACAAAAGCAGTCTCTGACTTGTTTGTTTTTGCTTGCCTTGCCTGAGCCTCATTCACACTCCACAAAACCACCAGGTAGCTCTGCCAGACAAATCTTGCCTTTCAAGAAGAGTAGCAAGGGCAAGAAACCCAGTTCTTTTTCAGTGCCTGAGCTTTACTAATGAAATGTGTCTGCCTGTGGTAGGGAGAACTCAATTCAGTGACCCATTTTTGTGGTCCTGAGTTCAAGGAAAAGCTTGGTTGTGAGAACAAAGTACAACATGAAGGGAGGTTAGAATGCACTGGCATGTTTTGTGGCCTCTCCTCCACCTTGCTTGCCAGTTGCATTCAATTACTCGCTTGTCCTCCACCTTTTTCATCTCGTTTGTTAAATTATCTCTTGCCTGTATCTCTTCATTCTTTATCGTTTGATGTTTGTTAGGCCAGTAATTACTTTTAATTCAGTGTTTATGAGCTGCGGCTGGTATTCATAAACCTTGGTGCCACCAGTTCCACAGTTGCTCATAGATGTCCAAAAGTCAAAGCTGTTGACAGAAGTAGGAGTCATGAACTCAGACTGTATAAAAATCCTGTACTGAAGTTTGCACACTGTAGTGACTGTGAGGAGGAGATATCTGATAGGCTTTCGGCCAGTTGGTTATTAACATGTCTCATTTGGGAGAGGAGAATAGCTGTAAAGGATGTTTTTCTCTGTGGCAGCTGCAGCCATGCTGATGGGAAAACAGGGCAGTATCCACCCACTAGCAGCAGTGAAATTCAGCCTCCTGGTTAGTCACCTTAGCTCATCAGCACCTTGGCCATCCAAGTCTGCAAGCTGAGAAGAGGTCATGAATGGAGAGGGAGACACAAAAGCATGCATATGTAGGCCGACATTAGAAAATAAGGGAAATAATCCCTGGATCATTATCTAATTTAATTGTCTCCTTTAGTTAGGTTCATTGCAAAAGTACATCAAAAATGTCCTTGAGTTGCCCGCCTTTGAATTTGCCCATGTTCCTATTCCTCACCTTTTGTTCTCACCATGCTCACATCTCACAGCACCTCATGTTTTCAAGCATTGGCATCTGGTGGAGCAAACCATGTCCAGTGGGTTAAATTATTGCTAGATGAAAAAGCACAACTCCATTGGCAACTTCATGGCTGCATTAGGAATAGACAGAGTAGGACTTAACCTTGCTGAGCAGAAGAAAAAGATGGCAATTGAGAGTTTTCATCCTAGCACATTCTTCTGGTAATCTAAAACCAACACCAAATATTATTGGAGTTTCAATAGTATCTTAAGAGATGGCAATCTGCAATAATAATGAATCAATGTGTCATAATAATGAATCAATGTGTATTAATAATGAATCAGTGTATCTTTCAAGGAACAAAATTATGTGAGATTTTTCATATACATTTATACCATCTCCATGTAGGTGTATTCATGTTTAAGTGATCAAAATCGATGTATAATTGTATTACAGACTAAATTATGTAACAGTATTTGTGATTTCAAGTTAGGCTTGGGTTTAAATGTGAAAAATGTTTCTGAGCTGCCCGCTTGACACTTGCACTGTAGTGCAGGTCAGATTAAGCCACAGTTTTTTGCTTACATAGGGTTTTTATTACCATTTTCTTTACGAACATTAGCCTTCACAAAAGCATCATGTATAGCAGCATTTAAATCATGGGCAGGTACAAACATGTAACTTCTGGTAATGAGATTCACTTTTAAGAAAACTGAAGAAGTAATGAAATAAACAACAATCATCTCATACTTAAAGTTGCTTTTAAGAAGGAATATTAGGGAACAAAGCGGAAGTGGCACTTTTTTTCTGAATAGCTTTTTGGGGCTAAATCAGCTGACTGGGTGGTTCAGTTGAATCAACTACTAGATTATCCCTAATGCTCAGGTACACATCAAATACCATCGTGTGTAAGTTCCGATATTAAGAAGCACAGTCAGAATGGTGTGTATTCTGCCTAAAACAATTAACTGTTTTGAACAATACCTAAGTTGCTGTATGTTTGTCTCATGCAGGTCATTGTTCATTGTCAGTACTCTTTGCTTTGATAAGCAAAAGTTGTTTTCTTCACTATATATGAAGGAATAATAAGCAGCCGAAATGTAGCCAGCATTACTGAGGCACCTAAACTGTGTTAGTAGAAAGCAAACAGAAAATGTACTGTGCATCTCTAAATGCACTGTGCTTCCAGGAGCTGTTCCATCAGCTTACTGAATGTAATTTAATAGTATTTTCCTTATGAGGTTCTTTCATTTAAAAAAACTAAAATACAGCTGAAGGGCATTTATAATCACTCACTGTTCTTTTCCTCAGAGGTGATTCACAGCTAGGACATAAATTAAGACCAACCTTCCCTTGAGTCATCATGCGTTTGGGAATGCTTTCTTTTCAAGAGCCCAGCTATCCATCAGTGCTTGCTGTTACGGCTGTGCAGCTCCTGGAGTATCTACAGTCCTCCCAGTTTCCAGTGTGACACCATCTCTTTTCTAGAGCTAGTGAGCACAGTAACATGAGAAACTTGGCAAAACAGGAAACTTTACTGTGACTTTTGGTGCTGCTCTTGAGCTGTAGGCTTGCTGAACTCTTCATGATCTCTAAAGGGAGCCTGAGATACCTTGATAATTGTTATCCAGGGCTGTGGTTGGGCAGAGTTGAGTAGCAGTGACAGCTACCTGTCTTGAGAAACAAGTTGCAAAACCTAGAAAATGTCCATCTCTGAGACTGCAGTACCGGAGAGCACAAGCTAACAAACTGAAAGAGTTAGCTCTATAAATAAGCATTCTTGGATTCCTGTTTCGCCCATCCAAACAAAATAAGCACATTTTTAAACAAATCTCCTTGCCTGTCGTTCCCCTTCCCGTGCCTCCCTTGCAGGGCCAGGCAGCTCTCCAGTTTTGCTCTCTACTCCAGCTGCTTTCAGTATCTCTCAGCACTTACTAATCCTATGTGGTATTTCATGAGTAGGGAGGAATGTCTCTTTCTCGGTGTCACCTCCGAAGCTTGTCTCTGGGTCTGTCCCATGACACCAACAGCCCCCAGTTCTTCTCGGGACTGCCCCAGGTCACACATGTGCCCCATACTCCCCATATGCCTGTCTCTCAGTTTCCTCCCCCTGCCCATATGCAGGTTGTGCTTTCTTCCCATTGGAGGGCAGCAGCCAGGGTAAGAGGGAAGGCAGGTAGCCTGCTTTTCTGCTCTCCTTTCCTGTCTCTCTGGCACAAAACATCATTCTGATGGGTTGATCTTGACTGGCTGCCAGATGCCTGCCCAGATGCTCTCACATTCCCCCTCCTTAACAGGACAGAGGGAGAAAATGAGGTGGAAGAGCTTATGGGGCCGAGATCATGGGGACAGTGAGATCACTTACCAGTCCCCATCACAGGCAAAATGGACTCATCATGGGGAAAATTAATTTATTGCTAATTAAAAATAGATAAAGATGGTGAGAACCATGGCCTGCAACCTACTATTTTCGTGGGCTCAACTTCGCTCCTTCACTTCCAGATCCTCTACCTCCCCCTTCCAGACCACTGCAGGGAGATGGGGAATGGAGGTTGGGGTCAGTCCAAACAGTTCCTCTTTGCCACTCCTTCCTTCTCACACTTTTTCCATGCTTGAGTGTGGGCCCTCATGGGCTGCAGTTCCCATCAGATAAGCCAGATATGCTGTGCTCTCTCCATGGTCTGCAGGAGAACCTCTGCTCCACTGTGGCGCACCTTATCCCTCCTTGGTGTCTGCAGGGCTGTTTCTCACTTTCTTCCTCACCCTGCCTGTGTGGCATTTTTTTGCCCTTTCTTAAATATGTTTTTCCCTGAGGCATCACCACCTTGTCTGCAGGGCTCAGCCATGCCCTGGCATGGGTTGGTTGGAGCTGGTAGGAGCCGTCTTTGTCCAGCATGGGGCAGCCCTGGCCTCTCCTCATAGAGACCCCTGCCAGCACTACTGCCATACACTATGGGTACTGTAAGCTGTGGATGGACAAAGCAATCCCGCAGTTCTCAGTCTTCAGGTGTTCGTAAGACCTGGGTCTGTGGGACTTCTTAAAAACAATCTGTGAAAGCCTAGCTGACATCAGTCACCTGAAAGTTTGCTACATGTAATGGTGGAGGGAAGGCTCCTTCAGAGGTTGGCACTGGTGTTGAATTGAGTCAGAAATCAGGACAGCTGGGTTTTTTTGAGTTGAGTAGGGTGACATGGGTCCCAGCCTGGTGTCTCGTGATGAACACTCAGAATGAAACACTGCTCAATGAAGTTTTGCTGCAGTTTTTACTCCCAACTGTCCTGTGTCATACAAAGCAGATCCAGCCCTCTGCCTTCACTTTCTGAAGACAGGCAGAGTCAGTAACTTGAGGGTAAACTGAGGTTTTGATGGGTGTTACATGTGCAGTTTTATTTCAGGTCTGCCATGTGCATTGGTGTAGCCTGTTCACATGCCTGCATGCTGCTGGAGATGCTGTGGCACCCCGAGGTGACTTTGCCGTTCTGTCACTTGATTTTGGGAAGCTCAGTGCAAGCGGTGCTGCCTGGCCCGAGCAAGCGGATGTGTTGTGTGCCCTGATGTTGTTCTGGGACGAGATTAATTTCAGCACACTCATATTAATCCATTATATGTCTCTTTCCAGCACAAATGGACCCCCGAGGCCTATCTCCCAGACAAATTAAAAGTGACAGTGATGATGACGACCTGCCAAATGTGACCTTAGATAGCGTTAATGAAACTGGATCTACAGCGCTCTCCATAGCCAGAGCAGTACAAGAGTAAGTATCGCATTCCCAGGGCAAGATGAGTGTTGCCATGGTGTTCCCAGGCTGAAGGAGGCTCCGACACGGCAGGGGTGTCCCCCTATCTGTGGGTCAGCATACCTGCCAGCATCTCTTCTGTGTATCTTTGCTCGCTTTAGGAAGAGATGGCTGTATCTCTTGTCTCTCTCTCATTTTCTTTTTCTTTCTTTCTGTGTGCCCTCGTTATTAGGTAAAGTTTCATAATGAAATTGTTACTTCCCCTTTATTTACTTGCAGAGCTTTCAGTGTTTTTATGTCCTCTTCAAAGGGAGTCCAAGTCAGGCTTTCACTCAAAAACACATGATTTTCTTTCCTGACTGAAGGCAGCATCAAGGAGTTCATTCTAGTTGCTGTCAATTAGGAGCTACCTACATTTCTCCTGAAGGACAGTGTCACTGAAAGGAAATTAGTGATTTTTAATTAAATTTTGAACAGTTTATCCATTGCTATTATTTTTCTGTGTACTTTTACTCACTGGACAGACAAATAAGTTCTTAATTTAATGTCTGCATTGCTTGTTTAGGAAAAAAAAGGAACAGTTCATCATGAACATTAGCAATTCTGTAGATGCATGAGCTTGCTCAGTCACTGTAGCAGCTGGAAGGGAACCAACTGTGAGGTAAATAAGTATTAATATCCCCATTTTATAGGTGAGGAAAATGAGGTTATGCGTAAAGGTCACCCTGTAGGTCTGAAGCAGAGCTGGAAATAGAACTAGAGCCTCCAGGCACTGAAGCCTGTGCTAGAGCCACAAAGCACATTACTTTATCTGAGAGGTTCAAAATACGGACATTTTGGACATTATTAAAGAAGAAGGGATATAGTAAAGACCATTAGACATTGTTATTATATAACTTATTATAAATGAATTTTTGATGTCTTAATGTGACATCTAAAAAGTAATTCTATTTTGCTTTGCTTTCCTGGCCATCAGTAGCCAAAAGTGCTCATGTTTCCGAGCTGTGTTTGAGGAGGAACTACTTTTTTCATGTTTTCACCAGACAGCTACTAATTCATCTTTTCGTCAAGCACAGTAACTGTGATCCTCAAACCTATGTATTGCCCTTAAATGGAGAAAAGAGGTCTCTAAAGGCAAGGCAGGGCATTGGCTTTCATTGTAATTGACATGCTCCCCTTTTGGATAAAGGTGATAAAGGAAGGGAAGGTTTCTTTACTAGTGACACTATTGCTTGATAGTCAGGCCTCACACGTATTTTGAATTTGCTAGTTACAGCACAAGGCCCTGAAGTGTCAAGTATTTTTTTCTCAGTTTATAGCACACATAATAAGCCAGAAAAGTAAAACAAGTCATCATGATTTTGCACTAAATAGTTCTGTCTAATTAATGAGTAAAGGAATCACAGGGCACTAGAAAGTGCTTCTGCTGTGCAACTGGCAGGCAGATACTGTTCTCCGTGATTGAAATTACTTAAACACTTAGAGAATTGTTCAAACCATGAAAAGCATTTTAGATTTTCCACAATGCATTCCACAGTTTGTGGAGGTAAATGTGTTGGAATATTATTTGGCTGGCTCTGGAGTTTAAGAATTAAATTAAACAACTTAATAATATAACATCAACTCATCCTTGTTATGGGTTTTATTTAAACAGTAATCTGTTAGGTTATTTCAAAAGCCCCGTTAGGAAAATCTAATTTGACTGTGATCTGCAATTTGTCTTCTTCTTGACTTCATTCTCAGTCACAGACACCACATACACAGCTGCTGAGCTGAAAAGAGACATTAGCACATTATACCTACTTCACTCAGTCCATTTCTGTTGCGGTCTATGATACAGTGCCTCACAGGCAGACCCTCTTCTGAATCTGGGTATCTAACACATACCTTAATATTAGACATCTAGCAAAGCAGTCCACTGAAAATAAAAGTCCGCATTCTACGTACCCTTGGTGCAGAGAGGAAAGTGCCTTTGAAGCCTTCCAAAGGGAGATCCTGTGTGCTCAATTTTAGAATCTAAACTTAGCAGACAGGAATTTCCTCTGAGGACGCGGAAAGGCACCTACTGTTCTGTACTGGGCAGTGTAGGGGCATGCATAGAAAGACTGCTTCAGTAGGCGGTAAAGCATAGGTCTATACTAAGTGCTGAAATGAGGTAGGCTGTACCTCAGAGTCCAGAATACTGTCACACAGAGTGTGTTCTTCTAAAGTGAGCTTGTAAGCTCTTCCTTGTGAACAGTTATGCAGTTACTAACAAAAATAACTTCTTGCATATACTGGCTCAGAGGTGGAGCGTGGTACCTCCAAAGGGATAGCAGGATCCTTTCCTTCAGTTGCTGTTGTGCAATCTTGTCTTTGTTAAGCAAAATACCAAGCCAAATTTGCAGATGCTGGTGGCAAGTTAGCAGTTGACCTTCTCCTGGTTGCTTTTCGGACATGTTTTAAGTTATCCTGCATAAGGTTTATAATCACGTATATATGTATATATTTGCCTATTGTTGCCTCTTTTCAAAGAGCAGAAAAGGATTTCAAATACCCTATGGGGGATTGGTTTGGTGAGGCTCCTGACTTCCTTGTGTGCTATCTGTGGGGTTCAGGATTCATCTTGCTTAGTTAGACATCTGCAACATAGGTGTCTCATCCAAGCTAGTTTATCTTGCCGCCCTGCATATGGACCAGATAGCAGGTGGTGTGTCTGGGCGATAATTCATTTGACCTATCCTAGCTGTCTAATTTAGGGAGGGAGAGAAGCACTCAAGCCCATGAGCTCCCGTTCCTCTCCATTAACTGCAGACAGTGCAGACAGCTGCCTGGGACACATGTGTCATCACTGCAGATCTCTGGTGTGAGGTGGGGGTACAGCAATCCACGGCACTTGACTGGAGAGTCAGCGTGCCAGAAGCTGGGAGTGACAGGATGATACTGAATGCTCCACATCTTCCCTTGGATCTAAATCTGCCAGGTGGGGTTAGCAATACCAAGGTTTTAACCACGAGCTGAAGGAAATTAACTTACCAGTGTTTGGGGAGGAACTGTTGTTTTAATACAGCCATTTTTAAGCTTGTTGTCTTGGAAGTTACCCTTATGTGGCTGGGTCACAGGGCAGTTTGGAATCCCTGCATGACAGCTTTGTTTTTCATGTCCTCTAAAAGCGGCATGTTGCTGCTTTGTTTCAGGTCCACTAAAGTCTTACAAGAAAAAAATCCTTACCAATAAAAATTATAACAATCAGACACTAAGAGCCACATGTTTGGCATTAGTTTTTATTCGCATAAACAGAATGTAATTGCCTGCATATTTGTAAAATGACCAAGTATGACTATTTTTTCTCAGAGAAATTGCCTTCTTGCTGCCAGCTTTATATTGGCTGAGCTTCCAGACTTCTCAGTAGTTCTTTGGAATGACTTCATAGTCCTTCCTCAGCAAACCCAATCAATAATGTAAAGTTACAGATAAACAAAGTCGTTATTTCAAGCAGGGTACTTTGATGAAATTTCTTTATGTGGCAGTGCTGCTTTATGGCAGTTGCTGTGCCTTACCATAATATAGTCTAAGAATAATTTATTAATCTCAGATAATATGCTCTGGCTGATAATAAATATTGCAGCAATATGTAGATTTCTGTGGTCTTTGCATTGTAAGCAGCATTTCATCCGTTTTGTTGCGTGTTTTACAAACTCGATTTGACATGTAGCTCTCTAACAAAGAGCAGATTTGCCTCTATGCCTGACACTACAAATGCTTATTAACACAGCAAGTATAGCATCATATATTCAGGGTCAAATCTCAGACATGCTCTAGAAATCTTTATGAAGCCAAGGGAGGAAAGGGTGTTAGTCGAGCCATAGAAGACCAGTAAAACTTTTTAAAGGCTTCTCTCAGAGGCAGCATGCTGTTTCCTCAGCCTTGCAGTCATTCCATCCCTAGGCAGCCCTGATACAATGGGGCTTGGGAGCCATCTCCATGGTACATAGTAAGGAAACCCTGAACAGTACAGTCATCTTCTTTCCCTACACATTTGTGCAGTAAAGTATGTTATTTTACAGCATGGAGCTCTCTCTCCCTGAACACACAAGGTAAGATTTCCTGCTTTCAGAGGCTGAGGGCAGAACTGGGAGAGGCAGAGGGTGATTTTTAGCCTGAACTCTTGGTCAGTATATTGGTGAAAATCCAAAGAGCCAGAAATTCCTCCTTCTTATAGATTTTTTTCCTCCTTAGAGGTTGTAGGCTGAGGGATCTCCTTTGCCAAAACCATCTTTTTCTTTCAAATAACATCAAGGAATAGATGGACTATGCATATAAACTGTGCATATAAACAAGAAGCTTAAGGTAGCTTCTTGTTTTTCTGGGATAACAGAGAGAGAGGAAATCCTGAATACTTACAGTTACAGCTGCAGTTAATTCATAGAAATGTGATTTGTCATTTGGATGTGACTGTGGTGACCTTTAGCATGAACTCTTCTTTGCACTGAGCTGGGTGCCGCTGAGTGCTTGCATGAAAATGAGATTAGGGGCTTTGACCCTACCCCCATTCTCTTTGGTTACGCTTTGCAATTGATATATTGATGCTAATGTGATCATGTTACTTTATTTTTAAATTCTGCTGGCTTTTCTAGATTAGAATGGTTTGCATTATTGCAATGCAGTGGAAGATAGTTTTAGTGAGAAAGAAATTCCTCAGCAGACAGGCAGCATAGCCACGGTACCACTGTAGTCTTAAATAGGGATGTATTTTTGAAGTCTTGTTATTTTCTCCTTAGATCAGTTTTTTCTCCCTCTTCTTCTTCAGTGTAAATCAGCTTTTGTGGTTGTTTTTATCTCTTCTGAGGTTTATAACTGCGTTCTCACCAACCATTCATTTTCTACACTGATATTTTCTGTTTTCCTGCTTCAGCTGCAATCATCCCAATTATGATAAATATGATAAATAATTTCCAATTATTGTGATAAAGTGTAAAATTACATTCATTTTACTGTTTGCACATCTGTATTCAACGTGTTTCTGTGATACCCTACCC